CAGGGGGCTTGGACTGGGTGACCCACAGAGGTCCCTTCCAACCCCTACCATTCTGTGGTCCTGTGATTCTCACGGCTGGTGCGCACACGCGCTCAGCCGAGGCCGCGCTGACAGGGCGGCAGCTCACCTGTTGGCAGAACGAGCTCACGCGGGCCGGGGAGGGAGGCTGCCCGTTCTACCCTCGCTGCACGTTCGTGTTGTTTACTTGCGGGAATTGCTCATTGTTTGCTTCTGGTTTCGTTTTTTGACGGCTGTGTAGTATGGTAGGTGCACTCATAAGTACTGGGAAGCTTTTCTGTTCTTTGTCCTGTTTCCTGGGTATGCAAAACATCCACAAGTGTGGAAATTCGATTAAAAATCACATTTGTATCACTTAATTCCTTCTACATAGACTGACTTCAGTAGAGCTGGGTGAGTTCGGTCCACAGTTCCTTCATGATTATTTTCACTGTATTACTGAAAAAGTCTTCAAAATTATTTTATTCTTATTTTATCCACCTAACATGACAACACGTATGAGAGTTTTCACACCTTAATTTGCAGAGTAGAATTACAGCCCCGCCGGTGCAGCCGGGAGTCTTGCTGCCGACGCCGGTGAGACAGGATCTCACCCAGAGACGCGGCGTATCGCAGGAAAGCGGGAACGCAGGCGTGTGGCTGGGGCCAGCACCCAGCAGGTGTTTTAAAACACCTCTTTGTCACCCACAAGTCAACACTGATCCGATCTGCCGACACACTTCTGTCTCCCCACTGGCGTTCAAACGCCTCCCAAGCGTTAAACCAGAACTGACAACCCACAGCCCGCTGCTACCCAGTTCTCCTGCGGGCAAACACGGGTTAGCAGGAGGGTGCCTCCGTGAGGGCGTCGGCATCCAGCCGGTCAGGATTCGGGATGATTTTTCCAAACTTACTCTAAACCTAATAGAGTCAAAAGAAAAAAAGAAAAAAAGAGGGGGGGGTTCTACCTACAGTTCATTTTAATCTGCCTCATCCGTGTCTCTGAGCGCTCCGGCTCTTGGCTTGTCCGTGTTCACTAAGGCTTCCAGGAGAGCCAAGGACCTGTGGCGGGGGTCTGCTCTTTAGAATTTACCGTTTTGTTGACATTAGCTGGATACAGCTGGGACTTCAGACTGGGGTAGTAGATTGTTCTAGCAGGGTCACACGCATGCAGTTTTAGCCCCGTATTTCCTCACGCCAGCCTGAGTAGCGAAGCATTACCCAAAGCCAGGCCTGAGCGACAGGGAGCACCAGACGAAGCGAGCCCTCTCACCTCACCGGGCAATCGGCACGCAGCAACGCGCCGCTGGGGAGCGGGAGGACAAGCATGGCCAGAACTGCAGTGTCGCTGAAATAAAACGCAACCCGGGTCTGAAGCGCGCCAGCTCTGCAGGAACCTGAAGCATCCCGTAGGTCAAGGCTGCAGCGACCCTTTGTCTCTGCGAAAGGACGCTGCCTGCCAGTTCGAGCTCAGCAGTGAGCTGACCCCAATTGGGCTGGAGGTGTGGAGGCGTTCTGCAAAGGTGTTCGGGGGCCCAAGGGTGCAAATATCCAGCAAAAGGGGCTGGTGGGAATGCCTGGAGAGGACAGGTGCCTAACATGGAATCCAAATGAGCAAGTGCAAGTGGCACACACGCTGATGGTGGAAGTCTGTGAACCCTTTTCTGCTGAGGAAAGTGATGGGATTTGTGAAAGTTATGTTCCCAATACAGACCGATTTCTGGAATGAAGGAAACATGTCAGGTTCAGTTTAGGACACAAAGAAAACTCATTGACGGCTTTTGGACGTTTTGTTAGGAAGACAATGACCCATCTGCCTCTACCACCTCCTCTCAACCCCTTTTTGAACCACCTGGCAAGTTGAAACCACCTCCATTGCGGGAGCTGAGGTTTCGCCGGACTCGCACTCCTGAGGTTTCAGGGAGAAATGGCAGTGGCATAGCGGACAGCGGCGCTGTTTGGGCTGCCTGATGGCCCCACTCGGGACACACTTATTTCCAGGCTTGCTGCTGGCAATTCCAGCTCCTGCCAACCCAGCACCAAGCGGACACGGGCACGGCAGCGTGATTTTGGGGTACCGGGAAGAGGGAAACAGAGATACTTCCAGGACAGAACAGAGGATTGTAGGAAGGACCATAGCACGTCAGTGGGAGGTGTCTGGACCACAAAGCGGATGGAGGGTTTGAGGAGAGAACTGAGGGCAGGAGACTGACTATTGCAGAGGAAAGCGCCTAGTAACGCGGAATGAAGATCTATAGAAAGCTTGTTTTATCATTTGCACTGCCCACAGAACAACTTGTTTCTTCTTGCTCAGAGCAAGAGTGTGAGTCATTCCATTTCTACTCCTCTTACAGAACAATAATCGCCTTTTCCTGAGACCTGCCTCACAGTATCTCTGATGGCCAACAAACATACTCAGGATTTGGCTCCTTGAAAGATTTGCTATGGAAAAAAGAAACAAAAAAAATCAGGAACTGCCCCACACTTCATATGCCCCATACAGATATTCTGACATTTAGAAAGGCAGTTTTCTGTAAAACCTGTGGAAGCAACATGACTGCAAAGCACCAGATGAGGGTCACTTCTGAGAGTGTTTAAAAGACTTTATAAACTGTCCAGCTGCAAAGAACATTTTTAAAGCCTTAACTGGTGAAACTACCTCATCTAGGGCCAAAATATCTTGCTAATAGCGGGTCACCATTCAGCTACATTTTCACAGGGAAGAAAATCACCTCTGGGCTGAGGATAAGCGTGAAAGATGAGAATACAAAGGATAACTTTTGAGAAGGCTGAAAACGGTGCCTTGCGCTGAAGGCATTTCCTTAACAGCAGCGGGTGCCCCTGTCATGATGGTGCATAATTTTGCCTCCAGCATCAACAAAGCTAAGAGCGAAGTACAAATTCCATGACTGGGGGTGGATAACAATGCTAGGAGAACACGGCTCAGTTTTCGGATGCCAGCATTAGTCTGCAGTCCTGACAGCCAGACAAGTCTTGTTTTGACTCATAAGCCAAGGGAGTGGGTCTGAAGCAGCAAATACGAGCAGAACTTTTACAGTCGCCCTACAGACAACAACCACGTTTCACTGCGGAGGATCATATCTAGAGTTACTTCAGCTGCTAAACCCTTTCAGGCGGCGACGGGTTATTTGTTATACACACAAATGTCAGAGCTGCCGTTTTCCAAACAAAAAAAGCACTGAGATGATGTGGCCATGGACAAACTGAAGCCTCCGCTGAAACTGCTGTAGAGGAGGCACAGAGCCACTGCATTATGAGATGTCCCTGGTACCAGAGGAAAGGACTAACTAATATCTTTAATACCTGCAGGAGTGAAAAAGATTTAAGAAGGCAGAGCTACAAACACCAGCATGGCGTGGCCTGGGACCACAGAGCGTGACGGTGGGATGTGGGCTGTGCCAGAGGGAGTTGGGGGGACTCTGTTTCTGGTTCGGTGTGATGTCTCTTCTTCACCATTAGAAGACACTTCGGGCTAGACGCAGAAACACTTTGGCCATGAAGACAGAAACAAAGACAGAAATCCCACCGACTCATCAGTATCATGGCACATTGTATTTAAACAGATTTTGCATAGATTTTCTTTCCTAGCTTCATTCCATATGTTTTCATTATCCTCAGTCATTTTTCAACATACTTCGAGCCCAAATCTTACTTTCACCTTACGTCACCATTTTTTGGCAATTTGCATTTTTCACTGTTTATATTGCAGAAGAAACTATTAAAATGTGTATGTTTCTAGTACCAAAAGTCCTGACTACTCTTTTTATAAGATTCTTGCATTTTCGTTTCATTTAGCTGACACGTTACTGAACACATCATTTTGGATCTGAGACTTTTGCACTGAGTGTCAGACCCAACCACCCACTAACCTCACAGGGAACAAAATGCAAGAACTGAGGATTTTAAATGTGAAGAGATGGCAAAGCTCTGTGGATGATGCCCTTAGAAATGCACAAGAGACTATGGTTTTCACAGCATCTGAATCTTTTGATTTAATGCATATCAAAGTTCAAATAAAATTAATTCTGAAGAAATTCTCTCAGGAAGAAATCTTTCACAGCATAGGTCAGTAAAGAAAGAATCACAAAGTTGCACCAGCCTTTGCTCTGCAGCAGCAGGGATGGTCTTGTGGCTGCAATGCAAAGCCATGCACAGGTACAATTCTCACTGAATTTCTCCCAGATTTGATCTCCATTTGAGACATAACAACACAAACCAGCTTGATTTTGCACAACAGGAGCCCACACAGCTGTAATGGTCTCCAGGCTACATGTTTTGTATGCCTTTTCTGACTATTTCTATGCAAGTATCTTCTTCAGTTTAACTGAGCAGTACAGCAAGATTAGAACGTGTTTCTGCAATAACTCAGCAGCCTTCCACGCACTGAACACATAGCTGATTGTCTTTGCACAGATGGCTTCAAAAATGTAAAGCTCCAGCACACAGCATGTGCTAACATACACCAGTCCTTTAAAGACCTAACTGTTCACCAACTCCCATAACTTCAGGCATGGAAAAGATTGAATTGTTTTTATAATTCTCACACAATTTTACTACAAAATCCTTATTATACGTATATGGTCATATTTCCAGTTTTAGAGAGTGTAAGTACAAAAGCAAAGTGAATTTTAGAAGTTGGAAAGATGAAGCATGAAAGCATCTCCAAAAACTATGAGGAAGAGAATATGCTGAAGCTGCAGCTGCTGTCTTGGGTAGGAATAATTAACTTTTCTGCTTGCAGTGTAAGTAACCAGATAATGCTATGTAATTACTTACGATTTGCATTGCTTGAAATGGTATTGCTAATTTCCAGTGATGATTAGCATGTCTTTTAAATAATTATTCTGCACCATATCATTCAGACACTTCAATTGCATGCACATCTACTGTGAAATTCCTAGAGGTGTTCTCAACATTTCAAGTTATTTGTAGGCTATACCATACCTTGGTTGTTTCAGTGTTTTGGGAAAGAACAGCAGAAGAGAAAATGATAACGCTGTGTTGAAGTAACAAACATAACCTCAGAAAATGTTTAAAAGCCTGACTATGGTACAAGTTGACCTTTCTGATTATATATACAATACCATATCTTAGCTCTCTGTAAAAAGATCTGAAGAGCAGTCATCTGAAGAGCAGTTATCTCAAGAGCAGTCTAGGTCTAAAATGGTGAAAATTTGTCTTTCTTTGGGTTGAGTTTCGCCTTCATGCACCTGAAACCACTTTTCTAGCATTTAAGGCGGCGCTCGGGCTGCTGCCTGGTGCATCTCTGCTTGCAGCAGTCAGTGCCTGGGCTGAAGCGATGACGCAAAGACAAGGGAACTCTGCAGTCAGTCTGATAGCACGTCTTTACTACAGAGCCGTGGTCACTGCTGGAAGGGCTCAGCTGAACAAACATCCTTTCTTTTTGCTTGTTTTATTCTGAGAAATCTCCTGGCATGCTATCTTGAACAAACCCTCGTGCAGCACGTGAAAAAACAGTGACAACATGACAGTTTTGATAATTATTACCGAATGCAACATAATACCCTGCATTTTACAATTTCCTTCTCTTTCAAGCAAGCAATTATTCTAGAAAGGTCGGGTTTGCTCTGAGCCCGTGTGTGCAGAAGGAAGCCTGAAAACGGCGTGTTGTCTTTCAACAGCCAGCTGCTAACACGTAACCCTGCTCGTACAAAACCGAGCAAAGACCGTAGGAAAGGAGCTGCCGATTCTAACCACACGCCTTTGCTGGAGGAGAAGTCACAGATACTCACTAGTGGTGGGGAGCAGCGGTTTATCTTGCCCCGGCAGAGACCACTTCCAAACGCCCTCTGTGCACTGCTCGTTTTTCCAAGGTTCTTCATCCTGTTCAGAGCAGAGAATGGATTTGAAAGCCGGGTACCTCTCCATCCTGCCCCTTGACAGCTCCTCCTTAGCGACACCTTGCATGAAACTCCCTGCCATCATTTCCAAAACTGCAGTTTTATGTTTTCTAAATGTTTATCACTGCAGCATGAGTCACTGCTGCTGTCAAACACTTGGTAGAAATGCAACAGCCTGAGGGTATTTTTCTTTCCTCTGAACTCTGTTTATTTGCCATATGGAGCCGGGCATTGCCAGTGCAGGTTAACCTGGTAATCAGAAATGGTTCAGTCCCTGCAGAGATTCAGTCAGCAAAAAGCATCCTGAGAAGCGCAACAGTAGCTTTTGCTGGGAGCTGCTGACTTGTTAATTATTTATTTTTCCAGGTAATTTATGAGTTTCAACAAAAAGTCTGTTTGCAAGTTAACAGTCCAGAGAAAGAAGAAGGGTGGGAGTGGAAAATAAGCAATAAATGGATTGAGGCTATTGCAGCCAGGTCACAGATTAATTTTATTTTTAGTTCATAGATTTATTTTGTTTGTATGCGTGAACTTTGGGTAACTAATGCTTTTTAAAACACCAAAAAATAAATGCTGTCAATTCATTCAACTATGAAGAGCTTTGAAATTCTTTACTTTTCATTCACTGCCACCCACATTACAGATGTCATCCTAAAACCATAAATAGCTCTTGGGTTTTTTGCTTTATTTCTACTATTAACATGACAAACCTTAATGTCATTGATCCTATTTTAAAGACAGCAAAAAAATCCCACACCCATATGTCAACATTTTAACATTGACTGACTGGCAGTAAACCAAGAAGGATACATATGTACATTTTTCATGGTACAGTAGATAGAAACAATCATTAGGAGGTCTGACAAAATTCACCTAGATTCGTTAGAAATAATGTAAGTCATCCACTTCAAACACTGGAAGCCATGAGATTAACTGTACGGGGCAGGACGAAAAAAACCTGTTATACTGTGGGAATTTGTCCTGACTCTAGCCATTAATACTCAGCTACTGATGCAGCAAGGGCACTGCCGTTCTCACATGTGGGTAAGGAGAGTGGAGGTTACCATTTGTTCCAGCTGTGCCCAGCGTATTTCCAGAGCCTCAGGCTGTTCCGCCCTTGCTTTCTGGAACAGTCTGCAAGCCTTTAAAAATGTGACCATATTTAGACTGGGGTAGGGAAGGACGGAAAAGGGATCCTTGAGGAAGACAGAAATATAGGGTTGCCCTGCACTTAAGAGACCTTTGAGGAGACATCGCTGAGCTCAGATGCAGGCAGACTGAGGAGACGGCTTGCCTGGGCAGCTCCCTCATCCCTCTTCAGAATGGAGTCATCATTCATCCTTCACCTCTAATAACTCATAGGAGGAGTGATTTTCTACTATGCCTCACTCTCAGAGCAAACTTTCTGCTGTTGAAATGTGTTTAAATATCACCAAATGGCAGGCATTTTCAATATTTCTTGCCGAAGAGAAATATGACCATATTCTGTCACCTCCCTCTAATGCAAATTCTATCAACTGTCTGTACGGCTATTTTAATAACCCTTACTCTTAACCATTTTAGCAGAAATATTTCCTCTGCATCAAACTGTCAAATATCAGATGTCGCCCAAGAAGCAACCAGTCACACGTGACGGGCGGTGCTGCACCCTCTGACTGGGAGGGTGGGTGTTACGGCAGCGTTTACAGTGCTACAGCCTGACCGGTGGCCCTTGCACAGACACTGTGCACATCAGCAAGACCTGAGACACCCATTGATGGTTTTGGAGAAGACAGCCATGCCCACTCTGCTATCCCTATTTGTTTGTGCTCGTGTGGGGAATACGCATTCTTTGAAAGACAACAGCAGCACCTACAGAACTTTTAACTAGGATTGTTCACCATCCACCATGGATCATCCATCTGGTTGGAAGCTTTCCTGGCAATGGCTGAAGAGAAAATCATGTTTTAATTCCCTTCTTTAGTGGTTACGAGGCCTCTAGCAGTGCAAGAGTTGAGAGAAGTTGCATTCCTTGGGTGCTTTCTTGCATTAGCATCCACAAATTCGAACTACAGCTGTAACTCAGTGTCCATGCCTCCAGCAGAATTAGTATAGAAACTTTGTATGAGCTTCTCAAATCTTATTTGAAGCTTCAGACAGTCAAAGAGACAAGACTATAGAAATCAATAAAACAAAAATATTGATCTGAATACATTGGGTAAAAATATTTCTCTGAGATTACGGGATGAGGTTTTTGAGGGCAGAAATGTTTCCAGAGATTTGAAGTGGCCCTAAGAAAGTTTCTCCCAAAAATGGTATTTTTTTCTCCATAAAAAAAAAGTCAATATAGATCACATCTCTCAAAATCAGATATACAATGATTTCTAACATGAAGAATGAATTGCCTCTTCTGTGCCATTGATAAAATCATCCAAAGGTCTCTTTTAAAGTAACTGCCAAAACAAGCTTGTTTTTCACTGATTTTGTAATCTGCATATGAAAGACTTCTTCTGGAATGGGATCTCAGCCTGGCTACCAATTATATTCCCTCAGGTCTAAAACTGGAAAAAATATGCACGCAGGGCCTGATTCTGTACTCCGCTAAGGAAGGTGGAAGTAGGGCAACTGCAATGAATCCAGTGGAATTCTTCCAATTCAGCATTCACCAGTGGGAGTACAAATTTAGTCCACATTTTTGTGGGGAAAACAACTATGAACAAAAAAATTGCAATTTAATCCATTTTCAATTATTCTTACTTGTTATACTAGGGAACCATATACTCTCCAATTAAAGTAATTTAGATTTCAAATTAGGATGAAGGAATCTCTTTCTTGACTCAGCTAGAACCGCATTTTTAGCTAATTGGAGAATTTTCTCTCCAAATGGAACATCCTGAGTTCTCACCCCCATCAGAAAGACATCCCAGTTGTTAGTTGATTTTGTTCCAAAATATTTAATATCTAATCAACCCATTAGAAACAAGCTTCTCATCTTCCTTTCCAATATTATGAAAACGAGTGGGCCAGCAGAAGAGACTATGCAGCGGGAGTATGCCAAGTAACAAACCAGATATCCCTTTCCTTCTAGAGTTACAGTCACCCTTGGCGGGGTGAGTTTAGAAGTTGGCAGCATCCCTTTTGGCAGTCTCCGTCCCCTTGTAATGCTGGAGATCCGTTCGCTGTGTCCGAGTCGCTTGGCTTGTTCGGCAGAGTCAATTAGACTGCTGTTGTATCCCCTCTTAAGTCGCCTCTTCCAGAGGTTGTGGAGTACTGATCCATTGGGTTTCCTTTGTAAGGAAGCTCGTCCAAACCCCAGGTCCTTCTTGCTCTTCCCTGAACACTTTCTTTCCTAGTTTGCCTTCCTAGAGAAGAGGCACCAGCAGCGCACACAGTGTTCAGTACGTGACGGATACAGTGGCAAAACAATGATGTCCTGTGTTTTGGTCTACAGTTGTTCCTAATTTACGCCTAACACTTGGTTCGCTTTTCTGACCGATACCTCTTTTAAAAGAAGAGGCTGGGCTCCTCCCTGGTTGCAGAGCTCCAGGTAGGGAATGCAGAGGCTTCCAAGGGGTGGGGAGCGCAGGGGGTGGCGAGGGTGGCAGGCAGCCCTGCCACTCTGGAGGCAATCCAATTTCTTACAAGCTACCTGAGCTCAGGTGAACCTTATGAAGCTCCTTCTCCCCTATGCAGGCACTTCTTGAGCACAAAGCTGAAATACATCTGCAACAGAAAATGAAACCACTTGAAACCACGAGCCCAGAGAAATTGATAGACATGTTCCCTTAGGTTTCAGCGAGCTATAGATCAGCTTTTAGGTTCATGTCTAGTGATTTTTAAATTTGTTATTTCTTGTGAGATGATGTTAGTCT